ACCCACCATCTTTGAATCGTAGGACCATAAAACATTTGTACCGCAATCCCAAATCTCCTATCACGGTCCTATATAATTTAATTAATGGTGTTATGCTGATTAAATTTTCCAATAAGATTCTGCGAGAAGTAATATCAACTATGTGTGTGCACAAGACCCTAGCTTTGCCGATACAAGCAAAGAAGTCCCATCCAATTTTAAATTTCTTATGGCGAGTCTTTTTCTTATGTCTCACAAGAATCGGGATAAAGACAGTCAAACAGTCGAAGCATAGTGGACTCACAAACTTATACTGTACATGAATATCCAATGTTTTGATTTATATTAGGTTTGGTGTTACAAATGGAATAACAAACTTAATATACTGCCAGCATACGATCATACATATAAGAATTAACATAAGACATTAGCCTTAGGACAAAAGGATATTGCGTGAATTGATAGGTTGCTGGAGAAATCATCATAAAGTAAAGATGCACTTTGAGGTGTAGAAACGATTATCTATTGTTTACGCCCTGAAATGCTGCTTAACAAGGGATTATTCTTCCTAAATAACGGTGAAAAAGAATTCTCTATGACTTTTTTAGCCAGATTTTTTAAAGCTACTGCGAATCGAATGGTAAGTAAGTAAGTTTTAGCATTCGTATGGTAAAAGCATTAGTAATTAGAATACAATGTCCCTCCCGTTCAATCCATCTCGATATGAACGTTTCGTATAAAAATTGTTTACGACTACTGATGTAGATTAAGTCACTTTATCAATTTTCGATAATTAAGTCCCATACGTAACCATTGTACGTAATTGGGGTGAACCGAGTGCAATTGTGAAGATGAACTATTGGCTATCAACGTCAGCATATGTCACATGTTTCACATTTCGTGCATGTTATATGTAACGTACATTGAAAGAATTGCTTTGCAAATCTATTGCGGTTTTATTATTTATTAGAAGGTTTATTGACGAATCAACCATAATAAAGAAATGTTACAATAACAAATTTGGGTTACTTTGCTGCATAATTTAACAGCATCCATCTGAAGTAGACACACACACACACACACACACACACATAAACAACCAATAATAATAATAAATGAAAATATTATAAGTAAGAAAACTATATTCAAATGTGATCGAATCTTTTATATCCACCATATCCATATTTTACTTAGATTGCGTACGGTTTTATGCCCACCTTTGATGGCTGAGGGGTATACTCATATTACAATAATGGTTGCAACACGCAAAGGAGAGCTTAATGGAACCTATAACATACATATAGTCTTGATCGTCTTGAAATTCTAAATTGATTAAGCCATGTGTGTATATCTGTGCGTCATTGTTTGTGCGTATTGTTGACACTCTCCTGATTGTAAAAAGCTAGAGACATTGGCAGCTTTTGCACGCAGTTTGTCAATAAAAAATGCGCCCATTTGGTCAGAGCACTGGCCCGCAATGATGCGGAAACTGAACGCAATTCCATTTGTCTAAACAAATAACTTGTGGGTTTTTCACTTCGAAGTCAAATGTCAAATGAAGGTATATTGTCGGCTTAAAAATAGGTTAATTCCTCAAAACAAAAATATGGTGGACACCACGATGTGGTGGAAAAATGCTTTCTTAATAACACCAGCGATATGGGTATCAAACAAAAGGACTTAGAGAGCAGAATGCGACAAGATCACTGTGTTAATTGCAAATTAATTATTTGTGCACGTAATCACATAGTTGATTATTATTATCCTTAACAATACGTTTTAGTGAAGTAAATGATGAAAGATAAATTTGATTCCCTTCACTTTTTCATCAAAATAAATAAAAGCATGGGGCGCCGAATATTTCAATGGGTAGCGGGAATGCCGCCGTCGGAATATAACTTCCTTACTCGTTATGATTGCAGTGTATGAGTAGCGAGCAAAAGACTCACTTGTCTGCTTTTAACAACCGAGGTAATCTTACGTTACGTTACGTTGCATTCTAGATTTGTCCCTTAATCAATTTCGTAAATTTTCAATACTAATAAGCGTGCAAGAAATTCTAATTTGAAAGCGATGCCTTCAGGTTTGCGAGCAAGAGAATTTTAGCCACAGCCATTAGACATAGACCGACCTATAGTCATGCTTGAATCGATTGAGAATATGAGATGCTGATCAAGCGTATACGCACTGTTTGGGGTCTGTGAAGCTTTCTTCTTGTTGCTGCAAACTTTCTGACAAAATGACGAATGTGTCCATTCGCGGGTGTTGGGTATAAAAATGCATAATACCTATACGTTTGGGATAATAAGTTAGAAAAGTGCAAAATTGCTGCCATTGGTGGGTGATGTTTATGATGTTTATTATTGTTTGCAAGTAGATCAGCAGGCATAGTTTCTGATTTCACATCATTTAGAATTAGTTTTACAATTTTTGAAATTTTTTACGTGTAAAGCGATGTCTAGCATGCAAACGGAATTACAATCCAAGTTTGTCGCTTATTTCGCAACTTCGGACATTGATAAATATTCAAGTTCAGCTCTAGAATGGGTGACTTTTCGTTGCTTTCTTGTGTCCGAACTAATGACAGCGCAACTAAGAGCAAAAGCGTAACCGAAATATAGTCACCTATCACTGATGTTTGTTGCCCCAGTCAGCATTAACTACACCATCTAGTGGCTATTAATTAGGCAAAGGAAATTTACGGCACATAGACACATCAAAGCGCCGTTAAAATTTTGATATGAACGTAATTTCATGAATTCTGCATCCACTTCTTGACGTTCTTCTGCAATTTTCATCTCAATTCCATTAAGATACGAATGGATTCACAATATTTTCATCTTTTTTTTTTTTTTATGTCTACTTTAATATGTCTTTTATATATGTCTGTTGATTTATAAAAACTTTCGGGAAAATCGAGATCTTGATTAAATTCTATTCCTAGGTAAACTTTAACGGGTCCAAGATCGTTCATTTCAAATGACGGATGCATACGGATTCGTTTAGCTCTTGTACTCACTCAGATGTGTTAGAATCAATTAATATGTCGTCAGCATAAATTGCGAGCAATTATTGTATTTCCTTGTTTTTGTCTATTTCGACATTTCCAATCCGGTTTGCAATAACTTTGTTGACAATTTCTGGTACCACCTTAATCGCGATTGCTGCAAGCCATACAAAGTCTTATTCAATTTACTAACAGATACTTTTTTACCTTTTAAAGCTGAATTACGACGTTTCGGTCCTTCTAATTTTGACGGGTCAACTTCTTTACAAGCGAGTAGTTTCTTCGAAAACGTTACTAAATATATATATATGTATAGATTGCCATTTAAACATGCTGTAACTACGTCCTTGGGTCGGTATCAGCCGTTCAACCGATCATTAATTTCTATAGGTAGACCTTACTGCACGGGAAATATGTAGCACAAAACTTCAAACCAGGATGTTAGATGCATCCATTTGCTGTCAAGTGGAGTTTTCGCGAATCACACTCCTTCCTTGAATTCATCTTCAATTGCTCGCTTACAATATTTAGCGTCGTGTCTTTTAACAGCATCTTTACATGGTATTGAATTTTCTTGATCTCCATATTCGTCTGTATCGGTTCTTATTTACAATAGACTAATGGTGTACAATTTCGGACATCTTTACGCGCAAAGATCGTATAATTATTTTGGTACAATCGCGATTTTTTTGGAATTTTTTATATTAATTTCGTGCGAATGTTTGCAACGCAGAAGAGCTTGTGGTAGACCTGTATTTTATTATATCGGTTGTTTCAAAAAAACACTTTTTGTATCTTATCTGTCCGGCCGTCCGTTTGTTTATCTGATGTCTGTCCATATATAATTGTGTTTAGCCTATAGGTTGCAATTTTTAAGATATTTAGATAGCATTTTGGGCACTCATCTTTTTTGGCTAACGAACAAATCCCGTTGAAACGTTACCCCGAAACGTTACGTTGTCCCGTTACTTAACTGCTCGTACCTCTACTAAAAACATAGAATATCATTAATTCGTTAAGGTGTTCAACTTTATATTAAATGATCATAATGTTAAGCTTCTCTTTCGTGACTATGTTATGCACATTTGTTGGTGACCTACCCAAAAATAGGCCTGCGCCCCGGTTCTGTTAAAAAACCAATCCGTTACACGATACGTAAGTTATTTCATTTATGGTTTTTTGCATATTAAATGTGCATGTGTATGTTATGATTTATATATTCTAGATCACAACAAGAGTTTACGCAATGTCTTTCAACAAAAAGTGTTATTTTCGGTTTCGACCCATTTTTCAACTGTCCACGTACCGGTATCATTGCGATGACATTTGACTGGTAGAAACTGGGATTTTTTTGCGGACAACCGAATTTGATAATCTAGACTTAGGGAGGTGAAATTTGGCATAAACATTCCCTGATGAAAAATGGACGCAATCTATTTATGGACAAAAATAACCTTGGGAAACATCGACAACTTTACCATATTTTCGTCTATAATTTTCGATTCCATGAATGTATTTGCAAAGAATGGAATTTGATCTTAATTGTTTTTGGTGTTATTATTTGAACACAAGTTGACATGCAATTCGCTGCAAGCCCAGCGTACTTCCCGCTTTCATTTTAAAGTTTATTCAAAAATATTCAAAGAATTATATATAATTGAAACAATTCATAAAATTATTCTTTATTAATTAACTTTCATTTGTGTTTAAAATTAAAACTTATAAATATTTTACAAATTAAGATAAACTTATGAGTTAGATACAAATGTTAACTAAAAATGAAAAATATTTCACCCAAAAAAAAAATATAAAAAAATAAAAAACTTGTAGAAAATATGAAAAAAAAGGTGTTCGAAAGAAAGTGTGTGATAAGAAAAAAACGAATACATGATTTTTATTTGGAAATCTTATAAAATAACACAAAAACTGTTTACTATTTACAAAATTTGAAAAAAATTTTTCAAAAAGAAACGCAAGAGAAGAATAGAAAAAAAAAAGAAAAAGTTTATAAAAATATTATGGATAATTTGAACATCCCTGCATACCGCATATGAATAACAAAAATTTATTTTTAACGTAACGCAAAAAAAAAAAAAAAAAAAAGTTAAATAAATTATTTAAAATTAAGACTTAAACATAAATTATTTATTACACAGTAGTAAAATCACGTTTGTATTTATTTTTAGCTTCTTCTTGATGATAGAGATTACACTACACGGTAACAATAAAGTCTTTTCCGGTTTTAAAGTCAGTGCACTTAAACTGCGGACAACATTTCGGATACGACCATTTGGGATCGACAGGCATTTCCTCACAGCCGGGCATTTCAATATAGGGACAAGTCTCAATATTAATACTTTGTGCGGCTAAGTCGCATGACAAAACAGCACAGATACCCTTAGGCCGGTATTCCTTGTTCGGCAACATTGCACGTCGCGTGATTATGTCAAAGCATTTACCAGGATGTTCTGTGTAAGAGATACAAAAAAAAAAAAAAAAAAAATTAAAACAAAAACTGATAATGAAATTATTTGCAAAAATCAGAATAAGGAAATAAAGTGAAAAATTCATAATTTATCGCAATCAATATCATTAACATCAATTTAAACGCAAAAAACACATGCCTATACAGAGTGAGATATATAAAGGCAAGAACAAGAACAAGAAATGATAAAATATTAATTTTTATGATCTCTCTCATTAAAAGCAATCTTTTTACGCACAGGAAGTCGCAGTCGCGTTACCAAAAATAAAAAATAAATAAATAAAATAAAACAAAAACATTTAATCACTCATTATTATTCACGTGTGTAAGTAAGTATATAATTCCTTTTTGTTTCTACCATCAACAAATACACGACAAACACATGACAAATTTTACAAAACATACATATGTGCGCGATGAACGCAAGGTTTTCGATCAATCCGTCCGTGCTTTCCTTCGGAATAATTTCCTTTCGAAATGCTTCGAGTTGCTTCCATTAAAAATCAAGCGATCGAAGAGAAGACTTCAAGAAAGCCAGAAGTTTATTTAAAGCCAAGGGGAAGCGTATATATGTCACGATAAGAGTTCATTCGAAATATTAAATGAAGAAGAAGAAGCATTGCTCTGATAAATGAAATGTTTTATCTGAATTGATGAGACGGATAGGGTAGTGCGCACATTTCTGGAACAAAAGTTCCATCAGAGAACGTAAAATTCTATTTGAAGCTGACCTATATTGAGTCAAAGGATATTGAAGAACAGCTGCTAAGACGCTAAACGTAATTGCATCCGCATGAAACTGAATGGAAAACTGTTTAGCTAATTGAGGCGATGTTAAGGAATGGAATGGCGTTTAAGAAGAATTTGTGTAAGCCATACGACGATATCAGTGCGAGTAAATTGGGCAAGAAATATGAAAAAGGCGGGAATCACAACTTAAATGCTATTCATTAGCCACTTCAACGCTTTAATGTTAATCGGTATATGAAATCATTTGAAATTTGTCTTCGTGTGCGCAAGAAATTGTTTGCAAACGACTGCATACATATATCGCAATATAAAAGTTAATTGATTTCTTTCCTCATATAAAGCATGTGTGCATGATTGGTTGCGGATTGGTATTTATCGTTTATTTTCACACACACAAGCTCGAATCTATAAATAGATACATGTGTACGAACACATATTAACACGTATTAGGTTTCTTTTAATTTCATAGACTCATTAATTACTTTGGACATGTGACTCCAGGATGAAATCCACAAATCTTGTTTTTTTTTTTTTTTTTTTTTTTTTAATTTTTTAATTTAAATTTCCTTTTAAAAAAGCCAAAACCCAAACCTTTTTAAAAAAATTTAAAATTTTTTAAAAAAAAAAAAAAAAAAAAAAAAAAAAAAAAACACAAGAATGTTTCGAGTTGACTTGGACTGTTCACTCATTAACTTTCTGAGAAATCAATCAACTTCAGAGAGATTGAGTTGATTTCATTTTTTCATGATACTTTTAACGAAAAGCGATAACAGTTCTCTTCTTCTATTAAATAATTCGAAAACTTCCTTGCAATTGTGTCACCGATAATATTAAATATAAATCTTTTAGGTGAGCGACTGGGAATATATTGCTATAAAACTTAAAATGACGTATCGGACGATCCATAGAGTGTACGTGTAACTTACATTCTGCATCAATCTAGAAAAATAAAATTAATTAGTAGTAGTTAAAATTGGGCAAACCCGCTTAGCCGCTCCCCCATAGTCCCGCCAAGCAGATATCGATTTAAAATTACAGGCAAATGAAATTTTTAAGTTAAAATGGAGTACAATTGGTAGCTAAGATGTCCAAACTGAAGAAAAAATCACTTTAGATCGGAGGCATATAAAAAATACGCCCGAAAACAAGTACAATTTCCCTACGCGTCCTTGCATTGACTCGTTACAGAAGTTGGAGCAACCAAATGCCCGTAGTTATGTCATTTTTTTCAACTGGCCGTGGACACTACCTATAATTTGAGGTTTAATCGGGAACCGATAGCACAACAGTTTTAATTTTAACGCAACCTTGATTCCTCTTTAATAGGCGAAGTAAATATAAATTTTCACAATTGTGAGTTTTTTTTACTACGTTTACTATGGGACAAGTAAAAGTTAGGGGAATTCCTCTATTACGCCTAGTGTACAGTCTAAATAGTCGCCAGAAAAAATGCTAATTTTGTAAAAACGACTTTAGAAAAAGTGACTATTTTGATACGCTGCAATGAAGCGATCAGTATGTAATCAAGTCGGTTAAGAAATTATTGGTCATTTATTTCATAGGCATTTCAAGAAGTTGGAAAACGCCAGGTCTTTTACAAAATCTTCGGAACTCCCTCTTAAAACTCTGAATGGTGTTCTTAATAAGTTAATAAAGATAGCAATAAGTAAGTAATTGAAGCGAATAGCTTCGTTGCTATAGACCTGCTACTTAGTCTACAACCCTACAATGTCGCATTCAGTGTAAATTTGTCAGTTTTTTTTATTTTTTATTTTTTTTACATTTTTTTTGTATTTCTCTTACATAGACAAATTAAATGAATTTGCGACGTAGACTGTGATGACTAACTGATTATAGCCACTATTAGATTATTATGAAATTATTTATGTAACACAGAGGTATGCATATTAGGCTTTAGGTGTTTTTTTTTTTTTCTTTTTTCTTTTTAATGTGCGTTAATTTGAAGACATTAAATTATTTACGGCATAAGCTTTCTTGCTTTCGGAGCGAACTTGAAAGTTTAGTTTGCTTTTTATATTCAAAGGTTCTTGAACTTGCCTTCTTATTGAATTTCAGGCAAAAAGGCCAATCTATAACTTATATATACATTATACAATATATATATATATATATATATGTATATGTATAAAACGTGCTCGTCTTGACCTTTCCTTGAAATTGCAATAAATTCCAAAAGAGATGACAATTACATTTCTATAATCTACTACACTGTTAAGTATTTGGTTTATGAATAATAAATAATATATTATTTATTGTTTTAAGTGTATAACAAAAAAAATCCAATTTATGAAATTCTAAAATAAAAGAGAAGGAAGCATGGCTGCCCTTCAATATTTTTTACATTTTTAAAAACGGTCCTCAGCTAGGCCTAAAAAAAAAATGTAAATTTTTATAATTAACATCGAGGAATTTATATGCTT